GAGATTAAGAAACTAACACGTAGAAGCTAAATGAGGGAGCGACTGGAGGATGAATATTTAGATTTTAATTCGTGATAGGCTGAATGCGTGTTTACAAGGATTATCCATTTTTAGGTTAAGTTTGCCTTCACACACAAGCAAGCATGCACACAGACAAGGATAGATAGAAAGAAAGACACACAAAACACACACACACACACACACACACACACACACACACACACACACACACACACACACACACATATATATATATAGATAGATAGATAGATAGATAGATAAATAGATAAATATGTATGCATGTATGTAAGCATGAATGTATGTACATAAATACATATATATATGTATGTATATATGTATATATACATAGTAGAAGCTAAAAGAAAATGAGCAAAAGGTTGCGTGTCTCATGATTACCGCAACTGCATAAGTATTAAATCGTTTGATTAATTAGCTGTAATTGCTGATGGTATATATATTTTTATTTATACTTGTATATACATACATACAAATACGCAGAAATAGTGTATGCATATGTAACATACACACACACACATATGTATATCAATATCGATCTATCTATTTACGTGTGTGTGTGTGATCATTTCATGAATAAAACATAGAAAATCGACTAAATGAAATTTTGGTGTATACAGCACTTAAGTAAATTGATCGTTTAATAATCACACCTGTTAATGAACAAATTGAGTGATTGGGAAGCTGATCGTGAGATTTAAAGGGACCTGTTCTTTGACTTTTTAATTCGAGGTATTTTTTAACTTGTGAATTGTGTTTTTTATGCTTTTTTGGGTATCTTTGAAAACTCTCATTGCTAGATTTCTTTAATCCTGGAAACATTCTTCCAAAATCCGAACCACAAATTCGAAGAAAAGGTTTAAGAAACAGACAAAAAAAAAAAAAGACATTACAACCTTCTAGAAGCAGCAATGATAAGTATGTAGGACTCCGCCGTTCTATTCTGTACGCGCCATAAAAGTTAATCCAGATCTATTTTTGATTCACCACCAATCATGTACTAATAGGTAATGACGTCATCAGTTCCATAGAAAAGACGGAGTTGAGTTGCCATTACTATCTATCATAAGCAATAACGAAACAAATTCTGACATGTTCATGCCCAAGATGCATGTGAAAAATCATCAATGTATATTATCAATGTATATATAAGTTGTGAGACATTCACACTGCAGGTATAACTCTCAGCGGAAAGAAAATCAACACAAAGAATTCCAGTTTAATGACAGAAAAGACATCTTATTTCCAGGTTGAAAAAGTATTCACAACTCACGCAATACATCAATCGAATAAAAAAGAAAGCTTTTAATAACACCACGACTAGGTTTAAAATTCAAAGTACAAATTTCCTGATTATTAAAACTGTAAAAAGTACGTGGAGATTTATCAACAGATTTAGGAACATCCTGAAAAACTA